TGGCCTGAGTATTGGGGGCTACTCAAACCATGGCTCCGATTGGTGAGGTGGGTGGGGTAGTGTTGTTGACGATCTGAATGGACCAGAGGAAGAAGCTGTTTGTTTGTCTGACTGACTTCAGGAGCCGACCACACCACTGCTGTGTCATCTGCAAACTTCATTATGAGGTTATTGCTGAAATTGGCTTTGCAGTCACGTGTGAGCAGGGTTTAGAGAAATGAGCTGAGGACTCAGCCCTGAGGGGAGCCAGTGTTGTAGATAAAGGATGGATAAACATGTGATGATGTTGATCCTAACAGATTGAGGTGTGTTAGTATTGAGTTTTTGCAGCATCATCCTTAACTCTGCTGATATCCCACTGAAAGATGAGTCATCCAGGGCCCATTTTCTGGGAAAATCATCACTCTCTGTGGCTTTGGAGTTTGCCCATTCTCTGACCCAGGCTAAGGAGACGCTCCAAGCCCTGGAGCTGGCCCTGTTCATCACCTCCACATTCCCAATTCCTCCACCTCGCAGCAGTAGCAGCAGGAAATCCTTTCCACATCACAGTAGCAGTGGACAAGCCTTCCCACGTTGCAGCAGCAGCAGTGACCCAACTCCTTGAGTCCCTCCTCGTTCACATCACCGCCACAGCTAAATCTCACCTCCTGCAGTTCTCGGCCCAACCACTCTTATCCTGCTACCTTCCAAACAGGAATGTGGATGCCGCCCTGTCGCCATCGTAATCAGTAGCCCCAGCAGCCCCGGCTCATTTTCCAAGAGGAAGCAGTGTCAGCGCCACCAGCACTCCTCACCATGGTCAGAATCCAGGACTTCCCCAGAAACTGAAACTCTGCCCAGGGCCTACCCAGAGACTGAGCTTTTGGGCTCAGCCAACTCTGGAACCCCGGAGACTATTAAACCAACCCATCCTCCTGCGTCAGCTGACCTACCAGCCAGGGACTCCACACCACTGTCTGAGCCAGAGGGACCTCCATCACCTGAGCATGATCTCGAGCTGGAAGGTTCCTGTTTGCCCGAGTCTGAGAAACGTCCTGAGCAGGCTGTGTGCCCTTCGCAGCCCCAGCTAACTCCATCTACACCAAAGGTCTCGGTACCGTCTGGTCCTACTTCTGCCCCACCAGAGGTCTTTGCACCATCTAGTCCTGGTTCTGCTCTGCCAGAGGTCTCCGCGCTGTTTAGCCCAGCCTCGTCTCTGCCAAAGGTCGGCACTAAAATCCCTGGCTATCGAATTGGTGTCCAGACAACAACTTGGACCTCAACACCACCAAGACAAAATAGCTGCTACTTGACTTCAGAAAGAGGAAGTCTGTGTTATAGCCCAACAGGGAGTGCAAG